TCAGAGATTGAAGAGACAAAAGAAAGGGAAAAAAGGAGGACCATTTAGCTTTGGGAAGGAGGAAAGAATGGTCCTTTTTCCACTTTATTTTTTTCCCCACTTTATTCCTTTGCTCATTTTGTTTTGCTTTAAAATCCTACTATAGGTATTTCATATTTGTTCTATAAAGAATGATGGGTTTAAGATCATTGCATATCATTTTTAATATTTTAAAAAAGAATTGGATTTACATTTTATAAAACTATTATAAATGCCCGCAAGAGTGACATAGTTGGTTGGGTGAGTGATTTTTCACATGGGGAAATTTGGGATTATTTCCTCATCAGCAGGTTCCTCAGTCAGAACACGTTGCACCGGGCTTGCCTAGTGTGATTTACATTTTCTATGTGATTTGCGAGCTATTGCATAGTAATCAGGTTACTCAGTAAGCACTCGACACATTACGGCTGCGGGTTTCTCTGAAAAAAATTCAAAAAAAAAACTATTACAAATGATAATTTTATAGTTACAGTATCTTTGAACACATGTGAAAATATTGTTGTCAAAGTTGTTTGATTTTTCAAATAGGAACATATCTGCATCTAGTATTGTTAGTTTTTAGAGAAGTTACATATGAGCATGTTATTTGACTATTGGAAGGATTTATAATTACCATCTTCACTTTTTCTGTTTGTTATATGAGAAAATAAATACTCCAAGTAGATAAAAAGAAGATCAATTTCTTTAACTATTTAAATAGAAAAAAATTTATTCACACTCTTTTTTATATCAATTCACTAAAATATTACTCAATTAATTATACCTATTTTTCTTTTATTTTTACCCTTAAGTACAAATAAATTAATGTAATTTGATGTAATATTGAATACTATTAGTTTTTTGTCCCAAAAAAAGGCATGACAGTGACTTAGCTAAGAGCCCATTTGATTGGCTTAAAAAAGTGGGTTCGCAACAAGAAATAGCTTTTAAGCTAAAAAATAATAAGTTGTGGTTGACTGACTTATTGTTTTTGACTTATTTTAAGCAGTTTTTATTTATTTTAAGCATTTTATAGCTCTGTCAAATACTGAAAAGGGCTAAAAAGAGCTTAAAAGCTGATTTAACAAACTTAAAAGTCAATCTAAACACCCTCTATGTAAGCTTCGATTTGAGTTCAGAAAAATAAAGTCGTCACTATTAGAAGCGCTTTCTTTTTAATATAAGATTTTCCGACGCAAATCTAAATTTAATCGAATTTTAAGACGCATAGCTAATATTGTGTGAGAAAAAAAAAAAGTGAGCTCCACTATATCCATCAATGTCACATTCCAGCCCAACAGGAAACCATCATTACTCATTATTGCCTGCCTCCCCACCATATTGCATTCTGCAAATCAGAATATGGCACATTTACATACATAGGCCAAAGGAATTACAAATTGCATAGCACAAAACAACAAGCAAAAAATTCGTAAAAATAATGCGGACTAGTCAGTTTTCGGATTAGTCATTCAAAAATAACTAGTGTTTGCAAAGTCATTGAAAAATAGTTACTATTTTACTGCAATACGAAAAGTTCTAGCATAATATACTGGAGATCGGTGCACCCAGTGTATGAACTTCCAACATATTATGCTGGAACTCCAACATGCGGAAAGTTCCAGTATAATATACTGGAACTCCAGTATATTATGCTGGATCGGTATATTATACTGGAACTCCAGTATATTATATTGGAACTCCAGTATATTATACTGAAGTATTTTTTTGGATTTTGAACAGCGATTTCCTTCAAATTTATCTTTACATGAAAAGTGGCTAAATTTCGATAACTTTTAAAATTGTGATTATTTTTGAATGACCACTCGTAAATTTGGCTATTTTTGAATTTGAAAAAAAAAAGGCATGCCCCCTTTCCTCCTTGAGTTTCTTGCTCTTTTGTGACTGCTGCTCACGTTCTATCGCCAACTACTTGAGACTTTATCACAAAGCACGTATTCTCCCTTCTGACATATTTTACGTGAAATAATATATCTTAGGATCGAAAATAGCGGTGGAGTCAGAATTTTTCATCAAGGGATATCAAAATATAAATAATTAAATACATCGAAAAGTCAAGGGGAGTCAACCTATAGTAAATATACATAAAATAAAAAAAATTATCTAGTAATATAGTATAATTTTTCTAGCGAAGCCATTGATCGAGAGAGGGTAGAGTGTATACAGATCTTATCTCTACCTTGTGTGAGGTAGAAATATATATTGTTTTTAATAAACCATCGGTTTAAAAAAATGCTTTCAAAATATGTTAGAAAAAATACGAGTGAAGGAGCTATAATGAAAATATTGAGGAAAAGAAAAGCATTAACGACATAGTAAGATAACCAATGCAGAGGAAACAATAACATTAATTAAAATTAAAGAAGTTTTACGTGAAGGTTTTTGATTTAATGCATAGTTTAAGTTTTTAATGAAGATTTTTTGTACATAACTTAAATGTATGCAAAATATCAAAATTATACTTTTAAATAAAAAGTAGTGAAGATTTTATATCTTTTTCATTTTTCTCTCCTTGTAAAAGAATTAATATTTATTGCACGTTGATCAATCCAAGTCATATCAACGGTATATGGAAATATTTAAAAAAAAAAAAAATCAAAGGTGAAATCTATTTTTGTTGGACAAATTAAAAAAGAAAGTATGTCACATAAAAAGGCATAGAAAAAGTTTCGATTTCTTAGCTTTATTATTTATCATGACCCCAAAAAAAAGAACACAACATAAAGAATATGTTTATGGGAAACAATTATAGCCGTAAAATAGAGATCAAGATACAAAATAAATATAAAAGTCTTGAGTCAGCTTATGATCACGCCCAATTATGCCTTATAAAATAGATAAAGCGGTCGCTGCAAATATATTCGGGTTAACAAATCCGGAGTCGAATCCCACATGGAATTAACCTATCAATCACAACTATTGGACTCACAGAAATTCACGTATTCAATCTTCGGGATATTTAAGTAACAGATTGGGTGTTTACTAACTAAATATTACGAAATGAAAATGCAGTAATTAAGAACTAACTGTGAACGATTTGTAAACAAGAATTGGAGGATCTAAGGTTGTGATTTCCCCTGTTGTCGGAATCCTTTCCACTATGTTTTCTATAAATTTGCCTAAGTCTTCTCTATCGATCATGAGCACTCTGACTGTCGTAACTCTCTCCCGAGTAATACAACAATATACTAGACATATTCTCCCGAATTACGCTAGCTAGCTTTTAAGTACATCTCACTTAGATCGCATCCAAAGTTTCGTTATCCCTAATCCCACCTTTAAACCCTTCATATTGATCCCCCATATACGTTAGGAGTGATGATGTTCAACAACTACCTAAATATGAACTCTCTCTCTCGAGTAATCCACACTAAATAGGAACAGTTAATTGAGGGCTCTTCAATCAACAACAATAAACATGTAATTGAACAAATAGAGATAATTATGGCAAATTTATATTAACATAACGAGAAAATCATCCTTCAACAGGTTCTATCAAAACCCTAGATTAGGAATTTAGCTACTCATACAGTCATACTCATAGTAACAATTTTTCAAATAATTTGCATAATTAAATTACAAAGCAAAGATGAAGTAATGAAGATTCGATGCCAATCTCCTCCGGAAATTGCTCCAAACGTTTTCTCCCTTCCGAAATAGTCTCCCTAGGTCTAAGATATGTCAAAAGTCCTCAAAAATAGCGTTTTTATATGTATTTATACCAAGTAGGGTCAAGCCTAGACGAAACACCCTTTCCTACGTGAAATAGGACTTGGCTCTGTAAAAAACGTACAGTTGCGCTGCATCATGCGGCACGTTAGTGGATTTTATCAGCAACTTCTCACTTTCTTGTCAGACCAACTTTTGTACTGCTGCGGCACGTTAGTGCAATTTCCTCAGAGTGAAATTATTTCGTCCTCTTTTAACATCCAGACTTGGTACACGATCTCTGAATACGATCCCGGCTTAATATATTGGGCTTTTACTCAGACTTCAAAGCTCCAGATTGATCGATTTAGCTCCAAATTAACTTTTGAGCTCAGGGTCACTTCCTGCAAAGCATAAAACACGTACTAAGTGTAATTCACTATCATTTGAGCTCAAACACACATAAAAATACAGTAATTGGAATGTAATACTACGGCTAAAACACAGGTTTCTAGCCTAACATCAGCTTATAATGAAATACATATGCTCTATGGAGATAAACATGTGAGAGATTAATCAATGTTTGAGATTAGTCGAGACAATTTTTATATGAGCGTATACTCATCAAATGCCAATAATCAATTAAACTTGAATTAATCCATACAAATAATTTTAAAATTAATAAATCGAATCTCATCTTATTTTTCCATTTAGGACAAGTCACTATCCTTTTAAATTATAATCATGTTTTCCCATATGGCTGTATTAAATGCAATTAGGGCTCTTAAAAAAGCAAAAAGAAAAAAGAAAAGACACCCTGAAATAGTGCAGACATCAGGAAAACGATTGTGAAAGTCCTTTCCCTTTCACTTGTAGTGTTTTCGAAGGGACACTTTTTTAATTTAAATTCTGTCACTAACTTTCTTTACTATCTTAAAATCAAAACTGACTTATTTATAGAATGTCAAAACGTAAAAGAGAAATAAGAATAAATTCTATTCTTGAAGTAAATAGACTGGAACTTATTCATCAAATTGGAAAATAATGACAAAAAGAATTAGAAAACAAGCAAATTTTTGTTTGTCTCTAAGTTTGATATTGTCAGCACCCTGAACTGCCTTTTAACTAGTCTTAAACATGATTTTTCTTTAATTAGTATCTACAACAACAACAACCCAGTATAATCCCACAAGTGGGGTCTGGGTTAATTAGTATCTACCAACAACAACAAAAAAAAAAAAGCAGTCTGATGCACAAGGCATCCCACAATCATGCAGCGTCTGGATGGGTTAGACAAAATATAAAGAGCAATATATGAAAGATTAATGCCTAAAACCTTTAAATCTCAGGGTTACTACAAAGTAAGTTTGAAACGTCATAGCGCTTATAGAAGCTAGCATAAAATTAGCTAAATGTCAAGCTTCTTAAGCTATCAAGTATGTTTTCCTAGAAAAAGATAAAGAAATTCCTTCAAAGGCGAGCAGATTAACACAGCACGGGTTCAGTTGGAATCTCGTCTTTACTGAACAAGAACAACAAACTCAGTGTAATCCCACCAGTGGGGTCTGGGGAGGGTAGTGTGTACGCAGACCTTACCTTGCTTTGTGAAGGTAGACCCTCGGCTCAAGGAAAGCATAGTCACAACATTACAGCAGCGGAGAAGCCATAGAAAAGGAGATGACGAAGAGACTCCGGAAAAAGAAGGAACAAAGTTGTTAGTAGCAAAAGCTTTTGATAAACCTACAATTGGTTGTGTGCAACACATTATTGAGCCATCTCTTTATTCAGCATCATAATCCCTCTATTCAAATACTTCAGTCACCTTAGCTATGCGCCATACATTGACACACCAATAAAAACTCACAACTTCAAATACTTCAGCGACATATGATATCTCAGTAACATTGCCAGATACCTCACAGTAAGTACTACCAACACTATCTGATGAAAGCCTTGACATATGTGGGCTATGTTGTTTTAATAAGGTGAATGTTTCTTCAACTAGAAATTCTTAACACACCCTAGTTAAAATCAAGTTCAGAAGTATAATGACTTTGTGTTTATCAACCATGTTTTGACAAGCCATCTACTCATATCATATAATATAGACATACCACATCCTATAGAAAACGAACACTAAATGAAAGTGGCGCACATCATCTCAATCATGCCCTTAATGCATTTGCCTTCTCACTTCTTTATATAGTGATTATTTGTCCCTGGACCAATCCCCACTTTTGCCTCCAGTTTTATGTTCAAGCCTGATATCTGTAATCTGGATATACTTCGAAGCGGCCTTGCACATGTCATACACTGTTAGACCGGCAACGGTTACTGCTGTCAATGCTTCCATCTCCACACCAGTTTTTCCATCTGAAGCAGCTTCTCCTTCTATTTCAACGCTAAAATCATGAGGGTTCAAAGCCAAGTCCACGCGAACATGCGTCAAGTTGATGTTATGACATAGTGGGATGAGATTACTTGTTTGCTTCGCTCCACAAATTCCAGCTAACTTTGCTACACTGAGGACATCTCCTTTTCCCATTTGGTTAGCTGAAACCAAATCAAACACCTCCCGTCCTAAAATAACCTTGCCACGCGCAATGGCCACTCTCTTGCTAATATCTTTATGAGATACATCCACCATTTGAGCTTCACCTTTGCTGCCAATATGTGTCAGTGCAGCGAAAGATTCTTTTCCATCCATTTCTTCAGTACTAAACTTCACGTCTTGTGCCATACTTTGATTGTCNGAACATTCTGATCCAGACCAACTAAGATAAATGGTTCTTGAACAAACACCACGGTTTACTCTATAGAAGCGGCAAGTGGCCTTTTATCTGCATCTTCTCACACATAAAGTGGCATTTTTTATAAGAAAAAGACTTTCTTGGAAGAACTTATTTTATTTCAAGAAAGAGTTTAGAGATCGGTACTTATCGACACCCAACACATCTGATCCGTCAGTTAGCACAGATAATAGACGATGAGATTCTTGTCGATTGTTAAAAAAAAAAAAAGAAGCAGAAAAATGTCGATCAGCTGATATAATTTAAAAATGTGTTTATCATAACAATATCCAGCCTTCAAACAATGAAATTGCAAGTTCTTTATTCTTTTAATGATCCTCAACATTCATTTAGGAATAATTAAAACTTAAGCCTAGAAGTCTCCAAAAGAAACATGTTAAATCCTTGAGACAAAAATTTAAGCACATAATTATGATATACATATATAAACCTGATTAAGCTCAGAAATAGCTTTGGATATATCATGGCTACCAATACTGCAAAATAACCTTCTCGACAGTGGTAATGTTGCTGATCCAACTCGGCGAAGAAACATCACTATTCAACTAACCAAGCAAATCCCTTAACTGAAACAAAAGCAGCAAAGTAAAATTTTGACACAAAGTTATCAACTTTCATTGAGACATTTTCACAAACACCTTGATAATTGTCATTTCCTAATAGTACTAGTACTAAACAAGTTGTGTAATAAAAGTTCGAAATGAGTATTTACTAATTTTGAGAATTAGAGCTGAATAAGTTGAGGGATTCATGTACGAAAGCGAGAAATTAACCTGGTGTTTTGCAGATGTAGTGGTGGCTTTGTCTTTTATCAAATGGTGAACTCAGTTCAGGACCAATATAGGCCATTTTATAAAGAAACCATTACACAAATAGCCACTGGTCTGGTTGCTTGTTTGGAGAGTGGTTGTATTTTAAAGCACCTCGTACTAATTTTATACGATTAGCTAAATTATTCAAAAGTAAAAAGCTGCAATAACATACCAAAGATGGTTCCATGGTCTAGTGGTCAGGACATTGGACTCTGAATCCAGTAACCCGAGTTCAAATCTCGGTGGAACCTTTCCCTTTTTGGAAAATTTTTCACTTTTTTTTTCGAAATCAACATCTGTTCATAAAATTTCACTTGAAGATGCATTTTGGATTTTTCGAAAATTTAAAAAACTCAAAAAAATTATTTTTCAAAATTTTCACTTAGATTACTCACAAAACTTTAAAAACAACCCAAATTATATTCATGTCTAAACACAGCTCTAATTTTCAAATACCATTTTCACTTGAATTTTTTTTTCCACATTTTTTTGGAATTTTACAATTCTTATGTCCAAATGTCCACTTATTCAACTGCTAATTTATCTATCTTAATACTAAGAGCTCCTTTGGACATAAGAAATTTTTCATTTTTTTTTGAGATCAGTGTTTGACCATAAAATTTTCAATTTTCGCTTTAAAGATGAATTTTGAAATTTTTCAAAAATTTTAAAAACGCCAAAAATTTATTTTTCAAAATTTGCACTAAGATCGCTCATAACAATTTAAAAAAACCCAAAACTATATTCATATCCAATTACAACTCTAATTTTCAAATACCATTTTCAGTTTAAAAAAATTTCACTTTTTTTGGAATTTTACAATTGTTATGTCCAAACGCCCACTAAATGTTTCAATCTCTAATCCCTAATCCCCTAATCAATTCTTACTAATTCACTTTAACACTTCTTCTCTTCTTTCACTCCCTTTTTCACACACACACACACACAGTGAATAATGGAAGAACAACTACCAGAACACAAACGCCGAAAAATCCGAGAAGTTGTGTTGGACATCCTTAAAACAGCTGACATAGAAACAGCAACAGAGTACAGTGTTCGAACCACTGTAGCCCAGCAACTTGGTACTGAGATTTTGAACATACAAGAGAAGCAGTTTATAAGGCATGTTATTGAGTCTTTTTTACTCTCAACAGTTGAAAACCCCACATTGGATAATAATAGAAGAATCAGTACAGCAGAAAAAGGGGTTAATACAGATTTTGTAGCTGAAGAACAATTGTCAGCAGACCACCCACCTACTCAACATCAAGAAGCAGATGGTTCATTGCCTAATGGGAATTTGGTTGATTCCAATGAGAATAATTGTCGAACTATTTGTAAGGTTAGTGAATATCAGCTAATTTTTCTTTTGTTATCGCTAGGTTATATCTGTGCTGCTGGTGGGAGGTAGCAGATAGAATAGTTCAGGTGCGTGCAAATTGACTAAATCCACTAGGTGCCTAACTCTGCCCAATAAGCCTAATGTTATATTTATGTTTTTCGATGGAAAATCTAAAAATTACGTCTTTATTATGTGTGGACTTAAGTTAGGAGTAAGTTCTGCGTATACTTTACCCGCCCTAGGGTGTGTATACTTTACCCACCCTAGACCCTGCTTGTGAGATTTCACTGAGTTTTTTTTTTTTTTTTTTTTTTTTTTTTTTTTTTTTTTTTTTTTTTTTTTTTT